TTGCCTTCCTAGTGTAACAGCAGAACAACAGGATTGGAGACTAGTATGGAATAGACCAGGGTGGCAGAAAGTAGATTTCCGGATGTTTGACCTTCCCTCTGCTCATGACCATTAGCCAGGCTACTAATGGGGGCTTGTGGGAGCTGAAGGCTAGCACATCTGGAGGTCTACCTTCTTCCCCCTCCTGCAGTCATCTAAACAACTGAATTCCGTTCATGCATGCTTTCTTGCCATTTATACTAAGCAAATGGTTGTGAAGGCAGTATGATGCAGTTGGCTTCATTCTGCACAGTGCAGCCACTAAACACAGGACACTCATCAAGAAAGCTACCAAGCATCTTCATCACACTCTCCAAAATTGACATTTCATTTTGCATTAGAACCTAGACTCGAATATGTTGGTGTAGAGGAATGGAGAGGGGCAAATATTATCTGGAGCCCTCATGAAGTTGCTTAAATTTTCAGTTTATTAGGCAAGGAGGTGCCAGCTGTCAAGTGTGTGAAATCTGTGCAACTCAAGGAACACGCAGGGAAGACTATTGCCTAATGCAAAGCCTTGGGCAGCACACATGTGTTCACACCCTCACACTCTCTGACCATGGGCACAACCCTTGAATGCAAGTGACAGTAAGTCCCAGGCTGCTTTGGAAGAACTGGGAGCTCTCGGATGCCCTGGATGCCACCTGCTTTACTGCCCCCCTTAATATTCCTCAGCGTTAGTCAGTCTGCGTTTACATGAGTTTGCGGTAGCCCGACAACGCGGGAATCCAGACTGGCATTTCTTCATACTGACACTGGCTCAAGCAGTCATGAGAAGCAGGAGTTAGACAAAACATTGGCATTTCTGTGAACATTGGTGGTGGACCCAGTCACTGTGTCAAGGCTAGTCTTCCCTGCACAAAGTAGAATCAAATCTTCACTGCCCAGAGGCCCCAAAGAATATAGAATAAAGAACAACTCGAAGCATGTTGGGGGGAAATTCATTTGTTGTTAGTTGCGAATTCGTGTCTGACCCATTGCGACCTCATGGACAACATTCCTCCAGGCCTTCCTGTCCTCCACCATCCCCCGGAGTCCACTTAAGCTTGCACCAACTGCTTCAGTGACTCCATCTATCCACCTCATCCTCTGCCCTCCCCTTCTTTTGCCATATATTGTTCCTAGCATTAGACTCTTCTCCAGGGAGTCCTTCCTTCTCATTAGGTGGCCAAAGTATTTGAGTTTCATCTTCAGTATCTGGCCTTCCAAAGAGCACTCAGGGTTGATCTCCTCTAGGACTGACTGGTTTGATCACCTTGTGGTCCAGGGGACTCTCAGGAGTCTCCTGCAGCACTACAATTCAAAAGCCTCAATCCTTTTGCACTCAACCTTCCTTATGGTCCAGCTTTCACAGCCATACATTGCAACTGGGAAAACCATAGCCTTGACTATACGCACTTTTGTCGGCAGGGTGGTGTCTCTGCTTTTTAGTATGCTCTCTAGATTTGCCATAGCTTTCCTCCCCAGGAGCAAGCGTCTTTTAATTTCTTGGCTGCAGTCCCCATCTGCGGTGATCTTGGAGCCCAGGAAAATAAAATCTGTCACTGCCTCCATTTCATCCCTATCTATTTGCCAGGAAGTGAGTGGACCGGATGCCATGATCTTGGTTTTCTTAATGTTGAGTTTCAAGCCAACCTTTGCGCTTTCCTCCTTCACCCGCATCAAGAGGCTCCTTAGTTCCTCTTCACTTTCTGCCATGAGAGTGGTATCATCTGCATATATGAGGTTGTTGATATTTCTCCCAGCAATCTTAATTCCAACTGGTAATTCATCTAGCCCCACCTTTCTCATGATGTGCTCTGCATATAAGTTAAATAGACAGAACGACAGTATACAGCCTTGCTGAACTCCTTTCTCAATTGTGAACCAATCAGTTGTTCCGTGTCCAGTTCTCACTGTTGCTTCTTGACCTGCATATAGGTTTCTCATGAGACAAATAAGATGGTCTGGTACCCCCGTCTCTTTAAGAACTTGCCCCAGTTTGTTGTGATCCACACAATCAAAGGCTTTAGCATAGTCAATGAAGCAGAAGTAGATGTTTTTCTAGAACTCCCTAGCTTTCTCCATGATCCAGCGTATGTTGGCAATTTGACCTCTAGTTCCTCTCCCCCTTTGAAATCTTGCCTGTACTTCTGGTACTTCTCGGTCCACATACTGCTGGAGCCTAGCTTGTAGGATTTTGAGTATAACTTTGCTAGCATGTGAAATGAGTGCAATGGTGTGGTAGTTTGAACATTCTTTGGCATTGCCCTTGTTTGGGATCGGAATGTAAACTGACCTTTTCCAATCCTGTGGCCACTGTTGAGTTTTCCAAATTTGTTGGCATATTGAGTGTAGCACTTTTACTGCATCGTCTTTTAAGAATTTGAATAGCTTAGCTAGAATACAGTCACCTCCACTAGCTTTGTTGTTGCTCAGACTTCCTAAGGCCCATTTGACTTCACATTCCAGGATGTCTGGCTCGAGGTCAGTGACCACCCCATCGTGGTTATCACGGACATTAGGCTCTTTCTTGCATAGTTCTTCTGTGTAATCTTGCCACCTCTTCGTAATCTCTTCTGCCTCTGTTAGGTCCCTGCCATTTTGGTCCTTTATCATGCCCATCATTGCATGAAACGTTGCCTTCATATCTCCAATTTTCTTGAAGAGATCTCTGGTCTTCCCTATTCTATTGTTTCCTTCTATATCTTTGTTCATTTAAGAAGGCATTCTTATCTCTTCTAGCTATTCTCTGGAATTCTGCATTATCTTTCTCTTTCTCCCTTGCCTTTCACTTCCCTTCTTTCCTCAGCTATTTGTAAAGCTTCCTCAGACAGCAATTTTGCTTTCTTGCTTTTCTTTTTCTTTGGGATGGCTTTAGTTGCTACCTCATGTACAGTGTTGCGAACCTCCGTCCATAGTTCTTCAGGCACTCTGTCTATCAGATCTAATTCCTTCAATCTATTTGTCACCTCTACTGTGTATTCATCAGGGATATGATTTAGGACATACCTGAGTGCCCTAGTGCTTTTCCCTACTTTCTTCAATTTAAGCCTAAATTTTGCAACCAGAAGCTCATGATCTGAGCCACGGTCAGCTCCTGGTCTAGTTTTTACTGACTGTATAGAGCTTCTCCATCTTTGGCTGCAGAGCACATAGTCAGTCTGATTTCTGTGTTGACCGTCTGGTGATGTCCATGTGTAGAGTCGTCTGTTGGGTTGTTGGAAAAGAGTGTTTGCCATGACCATCGTATTCTCTTGACAAAATTCTGCTAGCCTGTGCCCTGCTTCATTTTGTGCTCCAAGACCAAACTTGCCTGTTATTCCAGTTATCTTTTGGCTTCCTACTTTAGCATTCCAATGCCCCATGATGATAAGGACATCATTTTTTGGTGTCAATTCTAGAAGGTGTTGTAGGCCTTCATAGAACGGTTCAACTTCAGCCTCTTCAGCACCAGTGGTTGGGGCATAGACTTGGACTATTGGTATGTTGAATGGTTTGCCTTGGATTCGAACTGAGATCATTCTGTCATTTTGGAGACTGCATCCCAGTACTGCTTTTCCTACTCTTTTATTGAATATTGATTGATTGATTGATTTATACCCTGCCTTTTTCCTACAAAGGGCTCAAGGCAGCTGACATCATTCTCCTCCTCCATCTTATCCCCACAACAACAACCCTGTGAGGTAGGTTGGGCTGAGAGTCTGTGACTGACCCAAAGTCACCCAGTTGGCTCCATGGCTGAGCGGGGACTAGAACCCAGATCGTCTGAGTCCCAGTCCCATGCTCTCCATTTCTTCTGAGGGATTCTTGCCTGCAGTAGTATACCTGATGGTCATCTGAATTAAATTCACCCATTCCTGTCCATTTTAGTTCACTGATTCCTAAGATGTCAATGTTCAGTCTTGTCATCTCTTGTTTGACCACATCCACCTTGCCTTGATTCAAGGATCTTACATTCCAGGATCCTATGGAGTATAGATCTTAGCAGCATTGGACTTTCCTTTCAGCACCAGATACATCTGCAACTGAGTGCCCTTTGACCCATTCACTTCATTCTTTCTGGCGCTACTTGTACTAGACCTCCGGTCTTCCCCAGTAGCATATTGGACACCTTCCAACCTGAGGGGCTCATCTTCCGGTGTCATATCTTTTTGCCTTGTAGTGCTTTCCATGGGGTTTTCATGGCAAAGATGCTGGAGTGGGTTGCCATTTCCTTCTTCCTTCTCCTTCTTTAGGTTTGCCTAAAGGGAAGTTCCACAGGATCAATGAGCTGTTTTACCCTTTGAACTGCGGTGTGAATTCCACCCACAATGCCTATTAGATCTGACAAGAAAGAGATGGCAAACAGATCTGCAACTGTATAATCACTTTACAATACATTTCAGAAAGGAGACAACCATTATGGAAAAGATAACAGACAGCAGAAGAAAGCCTTCACAGTCTCAGAGGGAACCATCCTGATAACGTAACAGGGAAGTGAGATTCTGGAGAGTCTACCTGGACTGATGTGTTGCTCGCTATATTACTGCTTCTCCCTAGATAGGGGAGAGAGGGCTTTGTAAAGACCTGAACAGTGGGTCTTGGTGAGGGAGACTGTGAGATGTAACTGATAAAACACCAGCTTGACAAGCTGTTCTCTCAGCAGCAAAGTTCACTCCATTCTGTCTGACTTCCGAATGGCCACAACTCCCTGAGTCACTCTGATCATGCAAGGGAAGATCTGGAGGGCAGGATGTCCAGAAAACAGGCAAATCCTGCTCAGGGGAGGCTGTGGCATTCTCACCCCTTGGAAACAATGTTCTCAAACCCACAATTAACAGTTCTTGCTAATACATAGGCCTTGCTGGCCTTCATCATTGGTCAGGAGTTAGTATGCATGGAATGCCAAGAGCTGAGAGTGAAATAAATGTTTGAGGATGAAGCAAAGGCTGGAGTCCTTGATGACAAAGGGGAGGCAGGGCTTGTCCTTCTTGCAGACTAAAATATAAGCCTGGCTGATTTGTGAATACTGGGGGCCAGATTCTGAAAGTACCATGACCAGCACAACCACCTGGCTCCTTGTGGGGGTTTTGGCCCTTTGGGCACAGCTGCCATCTGTCTCTACCATTCCACCAAGAGGTAAGTGTCAATAGAAAAAGAGTAGTGTGTTCATTCAGTCATCAAGATTTCACAGTTTCCGGGTTCTTAAGCACATTGAATTGGTGTGGGGTCCCATTGAAATGAATGGGACTGGCTTCTGCTTACACTTGTACATGATTGCACTGTTGATTTCAATTTCCTCATGCTCCCACCTAATATTTCATGAGATTTTGCATTTCCTTTCGGATAAAATGTCTTTGGGTTCTTGCAAGACATACATGCAAAAGTCTACAAATGAAAATGACCTATTTCTGCACGAATGAAAGGGCTTCAAATTGATTGCTGCCATGTTAAGGCAGCTCTGCTTTGTCTGTTAGCAAACCTGCACTAGTTTGTTACCCATTTGGTTTGAGGCCCTCAGGTTTCTGTGCTGCACTGGAGGAAGAAATGCGGCACGACCACCAATCTGACAAGGGCTTGCTCAACTTTTCAAACCCATGTTTTATACTTGCTCTGCCCACTAAACAGCTCACTGTACAACCATCAAGCTTCAGCTGATCGTAAGCCAGTTCTGTGGCTTAATTCCCGTTTGCATGCTCAGCCCAAATCCTAACTGTACCATTCCAGACTGCAAGTGAGCAGTCACTGAATGATAAATGTGAGGCTTCTTGTGGAACAGGATGCCTGTATGTAGGCAACTGGAATTCTTAAACCTAGAAGCCTTCCGCATAACAGCTAGCTTTGTATGTGCAGTTATTTTTATTTTCATGAAGGAGCATTCCATCATTGGAGCACCCATAGCAGTGAGGTGGTATAGCTGGGGTCAACAAGAACCAGGTTCTCATCATCATCATCATCATCCTGAACAACAGTGCAATTCTTGACAATCTTACCATAGTGTTATACACCCCAGTTCAGCAGTTGAATTTGTGTTGCTGATTCTGTGCATCTGACTATACTCAGCTATTTAAGCCCAGTAGACAAAAGCTGAAATGGCTACTAGTGTCTCTGAAGCAGCAGGAGACACCTTCAAGTCTAGGTTTTGATTACCTGAGTGTAGAATTTATTTCTGTATTATATTGATATTCTACATTTCTCCCATTGTAGAACTCCAGGTGGCTGTTCCCAGATGGTCTCCTCTCCAAGGTCAGGGCAGCCCCAGACTAGCTTAGCTTCAGTGTGGGGGATGTTTTACGGGCTTCTCAGTGTGAAATCAATTTCTTTTCATGAGGCCACTTCTCTAGCTTGCTTCTTTTGTTATTGATTGCTGCAAAAAACTTAAAATGTACTGTTAAGTCAGCCTTCTTATTTTGTATTGCCATAATAAAACCAATAGTTAGAAGATCTATTTCCGCACGTGCCTTCAAAAGGAGAAAGGGGGTGATGGTCCTGACAAACTCAATCCGCATTGGGCTTCTTTTCTGGTGGCCACGTCTGCCCTGAACTGCCCTGCCGTTCCCTGTCCCTGAAAGAAGTGTTCTTCTTGGGGGTTTCCCTGAGCTACTAGAACTCCCTGCTGCTGTTTTTTAATTATACAATGATTTGCACTTGGAGAATTGTGATGGCTATGAAGATGAACAAACATCCTCTGATGCGGGGTGGAGGCAGGGGCTTGTGGTAGTGGGCAATTTCATTATTAGATGCATATGCAGCTGGGTTTGTGGTGGGTGTGTAGACCATGTGGTAAATCGCCTGCCTGGTGTGAAGTAGGGCTGTGTGAGGAATCCTTCTTGTGTGGAAAATCCATTGGATTCACTGGTTTCTGCTTCCTGGACTCTGGTCCACGTTGCAAGGCACTTGCTAGAATTGTGTCCCACACACTGAACAAGCAGTGCCATTCGTCTGTGTCCATCACTGCTACCAGCAACAGCAGGTAGGGAAGAAGGCACACCCACTCACAGCTCCTGTCTTTCTCATCCTGCAGCGTCTCCTGAAAGAGATGGTTGCCAGTTGTGCCACTGGGGTCTGTGCACATTTGTGGACTTCTTAAGTGTTTGTCCCATTCAGTCTCATTATAATGCTGCTAAGAGTAGAATTGAGTTATTCATCAATACAACTCCTTTTTACTTTCAGATAAAATTGGGACATGCCCCCCTAGTCCGTATCGGTGTGCCTACCCAGGAGAGGACCTGTGCAGTATTGACTATGATTGCGAAGGAATCAAAAAGTGCTGTTTCTGGGATTGCCGCAAAGTCTGCCGAAACCCTCAAGGTATTGTCTGTGTTTAGCACAAGGAATGTCTTTGCCCTGGGAAGGATTGCATTCTCACTCATCCCTGGGGTCCTGATGGCATCAAGGGTGGGTTGCCCTTACCTGAGCCACTTACCCCCACTCACTGCCATCTCTGGTTACTTTCGTGGTGTAGAGTAAGGCAGGAGAGATTGCTCCTATCCGTCACTGCACCAGAAAAGGGACTTTTATTTACTGTCCCGAGAGCCTGAAGACAGTCATATGAGTCTGAGAAATAGCTACACGTCTCCATTGCCCTGTTGCCAGCCGGGCATCCTGCATTCCCTGATCTGAAAAATCCTAAGGGAATCACGACTTCATTACATCTTCCTCTGCGTTTGGTCAAGTGTGGGAAACCAAGGCATGGCAGGCTGCAGGAACAGGGATTGTTCAGTGAAAGACATGGCACTCACACATTCCTTGGCCACCTCACAAGGCAAGCACAAGAAACAAAAACCCAGCCCATGAGATTTTCTCCAAAAAGCTCTTCCCCTTCGAATGGGGACCCCTTTCAAGATCGGTCCCCATTCATTGCAGGCCACAGGCCCTGCTGCCATTGTGTGTCAGAGCTTCAAGCATTTGTGCCTGGCCTGCAGCGGCACTGGTTCGCATCCTGTCTGCCTCCCAAGCCGTGCGCACACCCTGCCTTACGTTCTGAAGAGAAAGAGCAGTCTGAAGTTCAGTGTGCTCAGACGATGCAGGAGAGGCCTTGTGTGGCCTCGTCATGGGAAACGTTGAATGCGGCCAGAACTTCTGCCAAAAAATACACTCTTGCTAATCTCCCTGTGAGTTTCACCGGAAGTGCTTTTGAAAACATATTGAGTGGGAACACTACATGGCTTTATAATCTGGTTTTTCCTCAATGGGGTGGACTTGGAGTGCTGCATCTGCTTATGCTCATGTGTGGGGCTAAGTGGAGTTGACATAAGGAACCTCCAAGAACATGGGACATCTGGTATGCATAGCTTAGCCATGTTGCTGGCCTACTTTGTCTGACTGATTTGATACATAATAGACATTCATGCTGCATTTTTCCTGTATACAGATAAACCTGGCACCTGCCCTGCCGTGCCGCATTACTGCTCAGTCCAAGGACGAAAGGTTTGCAGCCATGACTATGACTGCCCAGAAAAGCAAAAATGCTGTAATTTACCTTGCGGGAAAACTTGTGTGGACCCATGACACGGTACGTGCCAATCTGAATCTTCTGACTGACTTCTCACTTGGATTTCCTTCCGAGTATGTAACTTGCTCCACACTTTCTCCTAGCTGTCTTGTTACAGTTTGTTGGATGGGTGGATTGAAGAGGGGGTAATACAGAGAAAAGGACTAAGTTTGGATGTCCCCCTTCTCTGTTTCCACTCTGGCACACTTCAGAGGAAATGATCAGAAGCTTCCACTTGAAATGTTAAAATAGGCAAAGTTTCCATCCCAAATTATGTATTAATGCATATCTATTTTTAATTGGTGTTAACCATTTCTCTTAAGCGTGGGTTTTCACTTCTCTGTTAGAAAGGTTATATATAGAGTTGTAAACCTTAGTAGTCTTTAAAAAAGGTAGTTCCTTCATCCTCAGTCAGCTTGGAAAAGTGTAATCTAATCTTTTTGAAGGCTAGTTTGAAAAATGACTTCTGTTGGTCAGGCTGGCAGAAGACAAAGCTGAAGGTTGGATTTCCCTGCTTCCAAAGGGAATACATGAATCAAGAGGACTGGCTCAGGACCAATGGTCGTGAGATCTAGTTCTCCACCAGCAACGCACCCCCTTGGAAATCTAATATGTTGTGCATTTGCCCGCGTGGAGGTCCTAGTCACCTATGGCTGCCAGACAATTAGTTAAGATAAGGTAGATTTAGAAGTGTTCTGGTGTATCACATGTCTATTGAAAAGGTATTCTGGGTGACTTATGCCCTTTGAACACTGAAAGTATGCAGGACTGGGGTAAAACTGCACAACTCAGGGGACCGGTAGTCAGTGGCAAGAATCCAAGAGTGGTGATTCTTTGAAGGCATGATTAAATGACCCTGACCAGTTGCAATGGATTAATATAAGGTGCTTTTCCAAATCAATCTAATAGACAAGATGATTCACAAAATAATTTGCACTTTTCATTTATTTCAGATCTCCTAGATGACTGATTACAACTTTTTTCAGGAGCTGCAATGAGACAGCATCATGAGTACAATAGGATTTACTGAGCTACATGAAGAAGAAACTGAGGAGAGGGGATCAGAGCTCTGAGGAGAATCACTTTGAAAGTATAATCCACTTTTCTCAAACTGATATTGACAGTTCTCTTTACTTTCTTGTCAATTGGAGATGTACTGTCTTCCGATTGGTCCTTCCCAATGAATAATATTTTAGAATAAAAGCTGTCATATGAATTTCCCCTCCTTCATGGATCACTGCCTCATCATGGCGAAGGGGCTTGCGTAGCTCAATGAAGCGATGAGCTATGCTGTGCAGGGCCACCCAAGACAGACAGGTCATAGCAGAGAGCTCTGACAAAACGTGATCCACTGGAGCAGGAAATGGCAACCCACTCCAGTATCTTTGCCATGGAAACCCCATGGACAGTACCAAAAGGCAAAAAGATATGACGCTGGAAGATGAACCCCGCAGGTCGGAAGGTGTCCAATATGCTACTGGGGAACTGGACACGGAACCACTGATTGGTTCAAAATTGAGAAAGGAGTTCAGTAAAGCTGTAAACTGTCACCCTGCCGATTTAACTTATATGCAGAGCACATCATGAGAAAGGTGGGGCTGGATGAATCACAAACTGGAATTAAGATTGCCGGGAGAAATATCAGCAATCTCAGATATTGGGGTAACTGTCCTCGATTTAGAAGAAATTTGAGTAGGAAACTAATGCATAAGTCCACAGTGTGTGACCACATCTCTGGGCAATGATCCTCAATATTACATATCTATTGCACTTTCTGATCTGGAAAAAGCCCTAGAATTACCACATTACTTCCTAGAAATGAATCATAAAGATATATAATCAGTGGTGTAGTGGAGCTATTGTTCACAGTGTTCTCAAACCAGGATCATTGAATCAGTAGGGACAGTGACCACAGATGCCAGCTCCTCAGACTTCTCTATTCCCTATGTTATCCACAATCTTCACAGTAGGTGAGGAAAAATGGGTTTTCCAGCCACAGTCCATTGTTCTGAGCTGCCCCTTTTGTCAAGCACAATTCTTGAATGGCTGGGACCTTAAAGGGCAATTAAGATTCATTAACTGTGCAAAAATCTATTCCAGGTGGAGTTAAGAACTGCTAGTATTGGTTTGTTGTCTTAGGGATAGCCCTGGTTTTCAATGGTCGCTGAAGCCCACTGGGTAATGGTGCAGTTAGATGCATGGTATGTGACTTCTGAATTAAACTGCAACTCAAACTTGTAACATCATGCGAACGCCACAAGACTGGGTTGTTGGCATAGGTATCAAATTACCCAGAATCCTAACAGAGCCAATAGTTTCTGAGAGGTTTATTACCCAAATCAACAACTCATCCTTCCTGGGTCTGCATGGCACAACAAGCCAACCTGAATATTCAAAATGGCAGCCAGCACTTGGAACAACCCACCACAGCTTAAATAAGCCAAGGTGGACTATGGCCGTCTTGCAAACCAGCCCATAAGTTTTCCGCTGTAATGCAAAGTTGGGGAAGGGACCTCTAGGGAAATCTTGAGCTGGTGGCATTATGTTGTTTAGAGTCAATATTGTGTCCTTCCTGTTTCTCATGAAATGAGAAGAGTCCTCAGCCAAAGCCCAAGGTACTAGCCACTACGCTATCTTGTGCCAGCTCATTATTGTGTGACTGCCAGCTGCTCCAAATAAACTGGGCATTGTGCTTGATGCAGTTTTGGAAAAAGGTATGGGATGCAGCAGAAACGAAAGATGAACACAGATGCCGGCATTCCTGAATTCCTCTGGGAGCACGGCTCCGGGAACTTTCATGAAGAATGTCTGTACGCCAATATTTTTACTTTTGTACCTCTGCTCTTCTATACATTTTAGCTACAACCAAGTGCACTATGCCCCATGCCTAAGAAAGACTCCCATCCCTTCCAGGGGAATTAATGTCACTCAACTGCCTCTTAGCCAGGACTAGAATAAGTACGGTACTTGTTGTAGAATTTGGTTTGTTTGGTTTATTATCGATAGCACATTCCTCAGGACTATCCAATGCTTTCCTTCAATAGATTTGGAAGGTGATTTAGCCGTTTTTAGACACAAATGCTGTAATGCCAGTTTTCTCTTGCAAAATGTTGTTTGACATATTTGTTCCACTGGAGATTATCCTAGAAAATAAATGGGGTGTGTGAGTGAAACCTTTGATTAATAAACATGGTCTATAGGTCCATATCCCCCTTGATGGCAGGAATCTCTACTGCTCCTGGTAATGACTACCCCACCCACTGTATGGGAAAGAGGTGCTACTGCAGTTTCCCCTTGCTGTCAGGAACAGCTGAGATTTCCAGATAGCAGGTCTATATGGCAGCTTCTCAGTGGTGGAACTTCAGATCCTAGATTGACTCAATCCACCCAGTCCAAGGCAGGAAGAATATCAGAGTCTTCCAGTTCCACCTAAGCCTTGCTTAAGTAATCAGATCTTTCTGAGCATGTTCCTATCCTTTGGTCCTAGCTTACCTCTCAGTCCTGCTTCCTGATTATTTCTTCAGTTCTGACTTGCTCCCTTCTCTACACTGCCTTCTTTGATTTATCCTTTGATTTATCCTTTGATTTATGCTAACTTCTTCTTTATTGTCTTTGTCCCACACCTCCTGGTTAACCTAGCACTACTGTCCACCCTAAAACTGTCTCCTTCAGACAGGGAACATCGTAATGGATTTCCATATGATTAAGTCTTTCAAAGCCTGAACTGAAGAAGTCACTGTGCATCAACCTCCAAATAAAAAATAGATATTTTAAAAAATAAACTCCTTGATTCCTCCATGTAACTTGGTCCTTGCAGAGAGCCAGAGTGGTGTAGTGGTTAAGAGCATGGGATTGGGACTCAGACGATCTGGGTTCTAGTCCCTGCTCAGCCATGGAGCCACCTGGTGACTTTGGGCCAGCCACAGACTCTCAGCCCAACCTACCTCAGAGGGTGGTTGATGTGGGGAGAAGATGGAGGAGGAGAGATGATGTAAGCTGCCTTGAGCTCTTTGTAGGAAAGAGGCAGGATACAAATCGCAATATAAATAAATAAATAAATAAATAATCAGGCTCATGGCCACAACAACCAGGATGCTCCGGTTGTCATGCTGTTGTATGCAGTGCTCGAGAGAGAGGATCACATTTGTGAGTCGAAAAATAATTTGGTGCAATGTCTCTCTGTATTCGTAGCTATTCTTAAGTGATAAAAATGGATAAAATAAACCAGCAAGAAAATGTCACACCCCCTGAAGAATACCAGGGCCACACATGCTCTAGAGGAGGTATTTGTACTGCACTTCAGACCTCCTGAGGAATGGGAGATTTGCAGACAAGAAGAGTAAATGACATTTCCCTTTCTTTTTTTGCTTATGAGACCATCGTCAGGTGTGGTTCACAATGCTGAAGAGCTGCCTGCCAGCCCTGACTAGTGACATTTCACATGACACACTCTTTGCCCAACCCTACAGTCTTTGCCCAATGAATCCTACAGTCTTAGTTGCTAGACTCCCAGTCTGGCCAGTTCCTGCTTCCTTTAGATCTTTCTTTTTCATCCCCTTGTTTAGAAGGGATAAATGCCTATAGAAATGGAAACTATATAGTGGAACTCTCCATTTATAGTGTATGTTAGTCCCTTTTCCCACTTCTTTCCTACCTGTGACTTGTCTGGATTAAGCCTCAATTTATTGGCCCTCATCCAGCCCATTACCCCAGCCGGACACTGGTTAAGTACAGCCACTGGTCACCTATGGAAATTGGCTTACCTTGGAGTCCTGCACTGGCCTTCTTGGCCCATTCCAACTTCAATATTCTATGAATCTATGACTGGCTACGTTCCATGGCAATTTGAGATAGCACCCAAAACCCTTTCTTTCACAGAACAATGCTATACTTCCCATTCCCTGCTAGCCACCTTAGGAATGTTTGAAGCAACCTCTAGCAGGAACACGAACCACCACACCAAATGTTCTGACTTACAGAACTCTCAGTGGAAAAAACATATCCTTCCCCAAAACTTTGATATACATTTTAATATAATGTAAAACTTTTTTGGGGTGCAATACCAAACTCTGGGTGGACACAATGTTTCCCACATCCGGTGTCACAGCACTTCTTGGGCCCATAGCAGGTTTCGTCATTACTGCAGCTATTAGGTGGATTCAGTGCAAGGCAAGGCATTTCAACAATGGGGCAGAATCCAGGCTTCTCTACAAAACAGAAAAACTGGGCTGAAGGACAAACTCATATAATCATTATGCATCTGCTTCTGGTTTCAGCTTACCAAATAACATCTACTTAACTTTTGAAGCATTGTTTCAAAGTCACAGATACCTTTATATGAGTCACAAGCTATGATTTCATATATCAGACTGGACCATATTTTCAATTTACCTAGAGAAAATTCCTGGAATATAGGAATTATATTATTGACCATCACACAGTATGATCAGCTGCCACAGAGTAATTGGCACTCTTTCTCAGAATCAGGGTGGTGTTGTGTTTAAGAGTGCTGGGCTGGGGCTCAGGAGCTCTGGGTTCCAGTCCCCACTCGGCCATGAAGCCAACTGAATGACTTTGGACCTTTTATAGACCCTCAGCCCAACCTCACAGGGTTGTTCTTGTGAGAGTAAGATTGAGAGGAGGAGGAGAATTATATAAATCACCTTGAATTCCTTGAAAAGGACAAAAGGCAGAATATAAATATAATAAATAAATAAATAAATATATGGACAAAACACATTTACCCATGGCAAATAGTTCCAATGCATTACACAATGAATTTCATAGTGAACCAGTTCAGAACTTAAACATCCTGCAAGTGCTCCAACAGCTTCTTTTATTCATCTATTTATTTGCTTTGCTAAAGCTGTAATTGCAGTGGTTCTGCTCCTGCATGGCTGGCTGGTCCCAGATGGTGGTGCTGAGGGACAGTCGCTCTGCGCCATGGCAACTGTGTCATGGAAATCCTCAGGGGTTGATTCTGTCCCCCATGCTTTTTAACATCTACATGAAACCACTGGGTGAGGTCATGTGGAGGTGTCAGTACACTGACGGCACTGAACTCTTCCTCACTTTTCCATCTGACCCAGGTGAGGCAGTGGCTGTCCTGAACTCGGTAATGGGCTGGCTGATGAGGGCCAATAAACGAAGCTGAATCCAGACAAGACCGGGGTCCTGTCTGGATTGTATGTTTTGTTATGGGTTATTTAGTTAATTTTCATTTGCTATTTTATGGGTTGTATTTATCAGGTTGTATGTGGTTTACATTATATCATGAGATGCTTCCATCTATTATCTTATTGTTTTATCTATTCTATCTGCTTCTACCTGCAGTTTTATCAACTGCAGTGAATGCTGTTTCCAACATTTGTAAGCTGCCCAGAGAACCTTCAGGTTATGGGGCAGCATAGAAGTGGAAACAAATAATTAAATAACTGTTCTTTAACAGATGATTTAACATCAATTTTAATGTCAGCATGAGAACGATTTAGAAAATTTGTAATATAAAACTTGCCCTACATAATTTGATTAATAAACCTTCTCATGCATAATAAAATTCACAATGATACATAGTGGCAACAATACTTCATCTCTTTAGTCCCTTAAACATCCACAGGAGCAGGGAGCAGCCTGTCTTTGGATACTCATTCCTGCCTGCTTAACACTTGGGGAATTTCCTTTGCATTTTGAGTGGTATTGGCGGGGGGGGGGGGAGTTCTCTGACACATACAGCTGGTACCATAAGGAAAGGAGGAAAGGACTCTCTTCTGCCTTGTTCTGAGATTTCTTTTCCCATGCAAGCAAAAAGGAAACTCCATTCTCCACCTTTACTTGCATTTCACAAAACAATGTTACATTTCCCCTTTCCCTGCCAACCACCTTAGGAATATTTGAAGCAACCTGGATCAGAAGCACCAAACACCACACCCAGTTTCCTGATCTGCAGAGATTTCAGTGGCAAAACAAATAAAAATAAAATAAAATAATCTTCTTCAAATTAATCTAATACACTATTGAGAGCCAGGTTTCTCCTGCTTTGCACTCCCAAAACACAGACCATTTTTTGGCAAAAGCTTTTTATTCTCTAAGTGCACTTCCAGTAAGCACAACCAAAAAAGAATGGACCTCTGAGCGTGCACAGAGCAGTTCCTGAATCGAATCTAACAACGTTTTCTTTTGAGTAGCCCAGGGGGCCCTCCCCCAGGATGTCCGTTTTGAAGGTGGGCAAGCCCCTCTGTCTGTTGCTCCTCCAGTTGGTTGGCCCATCTATCCCAATGCCTCATCATGGGGTCAAGGACTGTGCCGAACTCAGCAGGCTGCAGGAGTCCTCCCTTGCCCCTTCCCTGAGCTGTAAATCTTCACTATTCTCATTGTCCACCTAAACATCTTGGGAGGGAAGCCCCTTGCTTCTTCCATTTCAGTGTCTGAGAATTCAGGTTCCCAGGACCCCTCACCATGGACTACTCCATATCTGCCTGACCTTCAAATGTGCACCAAGAATAACTGTCCCTTGCACTCTCAACATAGACTCTCGGTATAATGCAGAACTGTTTGTGGGTACCATACCAAACACTGGGTCCACACAGGCTGTCCCACAGGCCGTTACGCAGCACTTCTTTGCTCCATCACAAACGGAGTCCTTCCTGCATCTAATTGGGGGGTTGGGCATAGCGCATCTCACACGAACGTATCGGCAGTATCCAGGTTTAACTGCAAAAAAGAAAAAGTGGGATGAAAGAAGCTGATAATAATAGTTATGCTTCCACTTCTGAACTCAGTTGACCAAGAGTGACCTTTGATGCAGTGTCTCCTCGTCTGCAAAGACATTTATATGCGGCACAGGCTATCATGCCATATACCACACCAAACTGGGGATTTGAACTTCCTTCACATTTCCTGGAAGGTTGGAATTCTGTTCTTGACCAGTGATCATAACCTATGGTTGCCACAGAGTGATTGGTACTCCTTCTTGTAAGAAGCCTGGGGCAAACAAAGCACACATATTGCCCACGGGCAAATATTTCCATTGCTGAGCTTGATGGTGATCCAAATTACACCTTTACATCCTCTAAATGTTTCAACATCCACATTTATTCATTTATTTTTGTTGGGTCTGTAAGAGTTCATTAACTGCTTATTTAAGGTATATGAAAAATTTAGGGACTTGGTTTGTTCAAGAAAACTTTACTAATCTCCCTTGAGGAAGGGTGAGATTATACAGCTGACCAGCTCCAGCGGAAGGGAGGACAGAAAGGATACAGCAGTGTGTGGAGCTGCTTCCTTCTCCACCTTCAAAGCAGCAAATAATCATGGTAATAACCCCTTTCCCCTTTTGTTACATGTATTAAGACTGTAAGCCTGAGGGCAGGCGCTGCCTTAGTGATGGTCTCAGAAAGCCCCTCTGGGTGCCTGGATCACCCAGACTCACTTGCAGTACCTGGTAAAAATGCTTGGCAAAACTATGCAAAAATATTTATTTATTTATTTATTTGGAATTCTTAGATGCTGCCCCATTCGCAAAAGCCTCAGGGCGGCTTCCAGCACAAATAAATAGCAATACAATACATAAAAAGATGGAAACATCCTGGCATAAATATAAAATCAATAAATAAAATCAGCAATTAAAATCACGTTTAAATGAAAAGGTCTTGGCTTGGCACCGAAAAACAAATAACGACAGAGCCAGGCGGACCTCTCTGGGGAATGCATTCCATAAGTGTATTCCATAAATATGTACTAATATCTGCGTTGACTTAGAAAAATCACAAACAGTGGAAAACGAATAAAATATCCCTTTTCTTTGGAAGAAATTGAGTGGAAAATTAGATTCACTCACCTGCAATAACAATAGCTATAGAATTAAGCAACACCACCAGCAAATAATAGCAAGGAGGAAAGAGAAAAATGAAAAGCAGCCTGTGAAGTCCTCCAAACATTATCACCAAACTGGATAAACAGGCAAAGAGAAAAAAGTCAGATGAGATTGAATGCATGCAAATATACCCTCACTGTTCTGCACTCCAGAAGGAGAGACACTGACAGCACAAGGTAATGTCCCCCAGTAACTGGAGAGAAAAAGGTGAGAGGTGTCTTTCAGCACTTACCAAGCACCTGACCATATGCAGGTGGCAGCTCTGACCACAGCGTTAGAAGACCCCAAAACAGCAAGATGCCAAGTATCTTCATGGTGCTCTTGGGAGCTTAGGTTCACCTGCATGTGCTAAATTTAACCAAAAGGTTATATATTCTGAAAAGAAGAGAGATGGGGAAACAAATATGTTTGCCAACCCACTGGACTTCCTCTTTTCCTGTCTCAGAGTAATTCTGTCATGTGCTCATTCCATATCTTAGTCAATACAGGTATGAGGAACTTACAACCAAAAGTCTGAAATCAGTGGTTACAAAAGAAATGCATATTACAGGAATATTATATGCTATCTCCTTTGCTTGTTTATTCAGACTTGGTCTCACTGTGTTGAGACCTATGTAGGATAGTAACCTCAATAATGCAAAGGCTGATCATGGAGATGACAGATTAGCTTACATTTAACAAAATGCAATAGGAAGAGCTCCTGGTAGGCTTTGCTAGACTTGATGTGCTGGATATCAGATCAATTGCCCCTCTAAGACTAGAGTTGACACTTTCAGATGTTGGCTCAAACTCCACAAAGCAAAGGCATTGGAAGTTATGACAGATGCCTTAACCAGTGTATCCCATGATGAGTGATAATGTTTTGCAGTGCCATGGAACCACTAAAGTAATCCTTCCAATGCTGTAAAAGAAGAGTAAAATATAATATGCCGCATAATGTCAACATTCCCCATTGAAAATGTAATGCAAATGATATTTAAGAAATCAGAAAATAACCTTTTGCCTTCCAGTGAGACTGGAGGAGACCCGGGTGGATGATACACCAGCAGAACTCCTAATCTGTCTCAGCAATGAACACAACATGTGAACACTCGAGATTGCTACACTCGAGAAGGCTAGGAAGTCTAACAAGGGAACAGAACTCCTGCAAACCACACCAGCCACCATCCCCTTATCATCAAATCAGGGTTGGTGCTGCACAATGTGGCTTAAAACAAATAGATACACCACAAGGACACAGTCCTAAAATCATGAAGCCTGTCAGGTGCACACGCATGAGCAGAATCGGCGCCCTCACCTGGTTAACTGTTCCCCACAAACTCAACTCTCACCAGGGCTTGGGCTGGAAGCTCTCTCCCCCCCCCACCACCCAATTCTCTCTTATAGGAAAACTGCAAACTCATCTAGAGGCTGAATTGTCCTTTTCCAGTTTGTTTTATATGGAAGTTGTTTCCCACATGCCTACACAAAAACTACTTCATAGCTCTATGCATCTTTGGCACCAGTAATTGTACAGAGTGACATGACAGTAAAAAAAGCAGATGGCTCCTTGGCAGAATTAAGGCAGTTCTTCTGCCCTAGGTCTCAAAATGCCCTTTGCTCCAGAAGTAGGGATGGGTGGAAATTTCATTAGGTTCATTTGTTATTAAAAAAAACAACAACATCCCAAATGCAGAAATTCATCCTTCAAGCAAATACAAAGGACTTGAAATTTTTAAAAATCAAATGCAGAAGATAGCACAAGGGACAGTTTCATCCACCCTTATCCAGAAGATGGTTTGAGGATTTTTTCCATGTATTTCAACTGCCACCTTCTGGAGAGTCCAAAACTACGTATAGCCCCTTCCATTTCTCACGGAGTGCTGCTGAGGGATTTTTGCAAAGCTCAGTTTCTAATCATCCAGGATAAACCATAGCACATTCTGAATCTGCTTCAATTTTCTCACAGCTACCACTAATTTTTCAAGGAAAAAAGACTTGAGAGTAATCTTTTTGAATGGCTCTGGGTGTCTTTCAGGTTTCTGTGGGCATTGACATGGAGGACGAACAGTTCATGGTATGGGGAAATTTACTTTCTTAATTCCTTGTATGGTGCTCATAGTTTACTGAACCTAGTATTTCTCTGTTAGAATCATGTTGTCTAAGAAAATACTATAGGCATGTCTTTCTCCCACATTTTAGATCCTCTTTTTTTTTCTTTTGCACATTTTTATTAAGATTTTAAACTAAAAACTAAAAAAAATCAATCATCGATTACATCGGATGTACTGGGTCAGCCCCCTATAACATTTTAACATTCTATAATCATATTCAAATCGATTTATAAAAATTTAAAGCCATCTTTAAATCTAAGCCAAGTCCCGTTTCTCCAGCCAATCATAAAAAAGGTACCAAGTTTGATAGAAGTCAGTATCTTCTTTCTCCTTCAGTAATAGTCAATCTGTCCATTTCTGCACAGTCCAGAATCTTTTTTAAAATCAGTTCCTCAGTGGGTAGTTCCTCACTCTTCCGGTACTGAGCAAGCGCAATCCTCACTGCTGTGATTAAATGTAGCATCAAATACATCCACATTTCAGATCCTCATTTTTCCTTCTCATACCTTTCTTTCTACCATTTCACATTTTCTGCTGGGCAGGATAGTTTATTAACTGCTATTTACAGGTCAAGAAAAAATGAGAGAGACCATCACATAAAGATCAACACTGCCATCATATGCATATTTCTTAGAAATAAGCACCACAGAGAAATGCTACTTTTTACTAGAAAAGGATAACTATTTTGAAAACAGCAAACTTCTCCTGCAATCCACAGTTAATATTTATTTTATATTATTTATTTTTATTAGAGCCTGAGGGAATGAAGAGGATGGTGGATCAGGATCAGCCCTCTTAAACAAACTGCTATTAGCTTGGATTGGCACAATAACCTATTCACTGGGGAAGCAGCCTGTATGAACAGCAGAGTATGACTCTTGAATATTATTTATTTCAATTCTATACTGTCTAATAGCCAATGCTCTCTGAACAGGTTACAACAGTTTGCAAAATAAAACAACAAAATTCCAAACAATCTTTCAAAATACCTAAAATTATCAAGTGGGTTTGGAAGAAATCATATGCTATATTCACAGCTGGGTTGGAAGAGAGAGAGAATAATGTATATACATTGAAAACAAAAGGTGTTTCAGACAATTGGTTTGTGTTAAAGGAATGGACCACTGTGCATTAACACGTCCATAGATGAAAAGTCTCAAACTGAGTTGCTATTTAATGTGCAAACTCAGGCATGGATTGTCTGTAGCACCATCTATGTCCCCATTCTGGTTAAGCCTAGAAAATTCAGCACCAGTCCTGCCAATGAACTCCAGATTGGCCTCTTCATGTTCTTTATGTGATTTTCCTTTGTCTTTGGAGTCTAGGAACTTCTTAGAGCTCAGTTTTGCAACAGCCACGGCTGTGACATGCCTCTCCTGAGATAGCCTGATGCCGAGGAAGGAGGGTCAGACGTAGCTCTACCGACACAGAGAAACGGAAGGCAACCTGCAAGCTGGTGTGTGGCAGCAGCTGCAGTAAGGAGTCGGGAATACAGGAGATGATCCTTCTTGGCAGTTCAGAACAAAATGAATGCTGGGAAGAGCCCTGGAACGAGAAGGCTCTTGCCAGAGCTGTGTAGGCGTGCTCCTTCATGAATTGTTCCACGGTGGATTGGGTGTTTCTCTGTGCGCCACCCTCTCGTGACTGAAAGGACTTTAAATTTGGAAACACTTTAGTGCGTACATGAGTGGGGGTAGTAATTGTATCTCTATGGAAGGGTATACAGTGAGAGAGTTTACTTAGAAATTATCCACGTCTGGATGACACCTATCCAAGAATTCTTAAAGAAGTCATGCTTTAAGTTACGGATTACCTAACAGAAATGATATACATATATCGACAATGACTTATTTATTTATTATTTAATTAAATAAATAAATAAATAAATAAATAAATGCAAAAGATGAAATGTGAAATGAAAGATGAAATGCTTGTACATATTGAAGAACGGGTATTGTTGAGGAAAAGTCAGTATCGCCTTGCAATAGTCTGAAAAGTGCAAAGTTTGAAGGATAGCTGCAATTCCTTTTGGTGCAACTTGTTCAAAGGTGCAGAATCAAACTAAGCTCACCCTAAACTGTGAACCAAACTGATCTCACCCACACTGTGGGAGACCACTGCTCTCCGTTCCTATAAATATTATTCCTTCTCTCATCTGGTGTTTCAAAATGGAATACGAACCTGTAGTGATTATGTCCACCCAGCCCAGTTACCCTCAGGGTTGGTTGTTTATGCTTAGTGATCAAACCTTATTAATTTGATGGAGTGATTCATACATGGCATTTTCGACCTCACTTCTTCTTCCTTATTTCCCCCCTCTGCAACCCAGGCTTGGATTTCATGTGCATTTCCTGCACTGTCCTTCACTTATATCTCCCAGAGAAGCTCATCCCACAAAGCACTTGCATCTGTGCTGTTCTGGCCAATTCTACCTTGCCCATTTGCTTTTGAACAATCTAGAGTTTCAAACTGCTTTCTGTTGCCACCAGAAACAAAATAAAGATAATACTGGAAAGTTACTGGATGTTTCTAGTAATTTGGAACTTTATGTGTTGACTTGAGTTTTCAAAACAATTGCGGTTGCTGAAAAGTAACTTTTCCCAATGTTTACTTTTTTCCCAGGATGTTTACCTTTTCTTTGGGAAAGCTTGTGAACCACATGCCAAACTGGTCTTGCATAGTTGCTGATTATGTGATAGCAACCAAAAGAGTTATACCACCTGGGATACAATGACAGTCCATTTTGTATTTGTGTTCAGTGCTTTTGTCTAAAGCACAAATTAACATTAACATAGATGTTATTAAAAGTAACATTCTCTAGCAATTTCATCTTTTCTCTATTTATTTTCATCCTCATATCTTTACCATACTCTTTTATCCTTTTCAAAAGTTTAGACATTGTTACCAAAGGTTCCTCTAGAATAAAAACGAAATCATCTGCAAATGCTTGCAATTTATAGCTTTCATCTCTAATTCTAGCACCTTTAATATCCATAACTTCTCGAATATTTCTATTTAACACTGCTGGAGCTAGCTGGGTGATTTTGGGCCAGTTGCAGACTCTCAGCCACAAGCTACATCACCAGGTTGTTGCTGTGGGGACAAGATTGAGAGCAGGAGGAGGGGAATGATGTAAGCTACTTTGAGTCAATTGGGAAAAGGTGAGATATAAACAAATAAATAATTAAATTAAACAGAGACCAGAATGTTGTCAGAGAGGGGTAGAGCATGTGTCCTCATCTTCTCAGGCAGAAGCAACACACACATCAGCTACCTGATGAGGGCTATGCTTACTCAGATGCCTAGATATTGTTCAGCTTTATACACGTGGAAAATGATAAGAATTTGAAGGAAGGCAGTGTTTGCATGCTTATCCCTCCTCCTCCTCCTCCTCCTCCTCCTGCAGCTTACAGAAACTATGCACTGTGAGGGCTTTAGGCCATCTGTGATGAGTACGGCTCATTTTTGCTTGACCTGCTAGAGCAGATGCCTTGCTCGCGGTGGACAGCGTGAAAGGATGGACTAAGGAAATAAAACATAAGGAAAGAGAAATACAAGAAGATGAGGATGTGGAGACCCAGGAAACAATATCTTAGCAGGGGGTGCCAGGGACGACTAAAAATTGAATTCTTAGGGATGGTACAACAGGATGTAAGGTATGTGAGGCAGTAAAAGTAGATTGCCAAACCAAAGACTGACCTCTAGGTCAATGCCAACAGGAGAAACCTGAAAGACAGTCAGAGTAGTTCTGTTAAATATGATACAAAAGATAAAGTGATTAGGAATTTTTAAATTCATACGTAATGATGGGAAAACCTCATTCACACTGGAAATATGTCTTGGTGGAGTGGTGGTGAAGCTTCTCTAACCCTTTCCAAGTTCCATTTTTCCCAGTTAAAACCATCCCCTAAAAGGTGTCTACGTTTCA